TGATCCCAGCAAAACGTCAGCCCGTGTTAAAGAGGAAGGATGTGTTTTTGTCCACACAACATGCAAGTGCCAGGGAGAGGAACCGAGGGGTGACAGGACTCTGCTCTGAGAGTGGGCATGAACTTCTGGTGCTGAGGCCAAGGCTCTGGCATCGCTAAAATTGCCGGGATGTCGAAAGCCAACACATCCTGGTGGTAACAGCTAATGAGTGTTATGCATGCCTCGCTCGTAATGCTTCGCTAAGCATTTAATACCTTTGCTAAAGCAAAACTCATTTGAGACAGCTCGCTAATTCCAAAAAAGATTCCTCTGGTGAATCGGTCACCAGTGGAGCCGTTCAGCCACTTTGCTCCTGTATTTCTGTTCTTGCAAGCAGATCTCATGATGGAGCCCCAGCAGAATTCTGCTTCCGTGTCTTCAGTACTGGTGCTTTCCTGCAGTGTGTGTGTGCTAAGATGCTTTATTTAAAACCAGCAGCTTTAGAAATATCTGCGTGTCCCTATGCCTCTGCAAAACGGCTCCTTCCGAGGGCGGTACGCAGTACAGCAGACTGCCAGGTTGTTTTGCTTTGTGTTTCTTTATGCAATTTTGATTAAAAGATATTTATTTTTCACTGACTCTTGGTTCACTTCAGCTGAATATTTTATATAGGTCAGTGGATTTTTATTTTTTTTGTGTCCCATAAGGAAAGTGAGACATCCCAACACAACTGTCACCCGCAAGAAAGCGTGGCTGAAATTCTCAGAGATGTTTGCTTGGCTGTTTGGGTCAGGCTGGAGTTCGGGACGCCTCCCGTGGCTCTGCTGCAGTCTTTCCGCTCCATCTCTCTAGCCTCCCATACCTCCGTAGCTGTGGGAGGTGCTGCTGGGATGTCTCTGGTACAAGCAAAGGGAGCAATGATATTCTTATTACTTCTGTTTATGTTATTAGGAAAAAAAATTTTGCCTCTTGTCATAGCGCCCGCTGCAGCAATTGCTGCCCCCCCTCCAGTTCAGAGAACTGAGATGTGACATAAACTCTCCCCCACCCTTCCTCCAGCCTTATCTTCCTCGCAGACTTTTCACTTTGCTTTCCTTGAACTCTTGGGCTGAACTCACTGCACCGTTCTCAGTCTTGTCCGTGCTCCTCCTCCCCCTTCCGCAGCTTGTCCCTCTTCCTTCTCAGTGCCAGCCTGTGGTAGATCCCTGCCCTCGTGAAAACCACGTCGCTCTTGGCTCCAGCTGAGTCCCGTTCCTCTCTCATCTTTTCCTTTCTCTCTTTGCTTGCGTTTGCTGTCCGGAGATGCTCTTCTCAGATCCCACCCTAGAGCCTCTTGGTATTTCTCTGGCACCACTCCGCAAACCTGGAACGGCCTCTTTGGGGCCCAAACTGGAAATACTTCATCCCTGCGCTCTTGGCGCTCACCAGTGCTAGTCTCTTCCTTACCTCTCCATCGTCACCACTTTCTCCAGCCCTGTCTGTGCCCAGAGGATCTAGAGGACCTGCTACCAGTGGGGTTGCCCTGGGGTGCGGCTGCCGGTGGTGCTGCAATTTCATATTTGTGCAAGTTGTGGCCTGGCATTTCCCGTGGTGACACCAACCACAGAAGCACCTTCTGCTATGTTGGAAAGTGTCCTGGTGACCTGCAGTGCTGCTTGGGTCGGTTCCTCTCCTGTCCACCATATCTAGCACTCCTGCAGCTCTTGCTCTCCTTGGGTCAGCCCAGTGCCCTGGGCTTCCCGGCGGCTGGAGCCGGGCTGAGTGCATCGGGAAGGCTCTCATGCCCGTACAAGGAGAGATTCAGCTTGTTGAGGTTTGTGGAGCATCGACGGCAGGCAGTTGCACAGTGGGGAAAGGAGGATGAGGAGGGGCAGCTTCGCTTTGCAGCATTTAATTGCTCTGCTTGCAGGGCTAGCGGCATTTCTGGGTCTTGGCTTTCTGAGCTCTGGGTACCCTGTTGGAAAACATCCCTCCCCACCTTGGTAAAGGAAACAGGACCATGCTGCTGGGGCTGCCCATGGTGTTTGGTGGCCTGCAAGGAGGTTTTGGTGGCCACCCGGAGAAGGGATGTGATGGTCCCTCTTCTGAAGCTGTGTGTTTTGATTCAACACGTTTCTCAGGGCAGGAACAGGGCTAATCATGCTGCTGTGAATCAAGGTCATGTTTTTCTTTCTGGCTTACCAGGTCAGCAGTGAAAGGAAAATCAACAGGCGCCTGAGCTAGGCCAACTATGTGGTGGACAGAAAGGACACGGGATGTTTTGTAACGCAGCTGGCTTTACACAGCCAAACCCTCCTGTTGTTGCGGCGGCTTGCGTCATACCGGAGCTGTGAAGCACATGGGGAACTTTGCGGCAGGGTCACTGGTGAGATGGCAGGTCACGCTGGTCCTGAATGGTGCTCACCAGAGCGGGTGGCCCAGCTGGGAGAGACCAGAGCACTTGCTGGCCAGAGATTGCTGGTCCCACCGGTGCTGGTACCGCACGGTGCTGGTCCCGCTCGGCATGGGACTGCCATCGGCTGGGGGGTGAATGCTGCGTGCGATGTGTTTTGTGAAACAGGGACCAAGAGCTCACAGCCACGTACGTTTTGCAACACAAGGTGAGTGAGCTGTAAAAATCAAATGCAAGCTTATTCTAAACCAGGCATTTATAACCCCCCAGAAAGACTTGTAAGGGGCTGAGCACTGCTGGGATGTCCTTCGTCAGCCCATTCCCCTTGGTCCCAAGAGGCGGAATGCAGCCAAGCACATGCTGGGATGGGCTGTCTGGGAGACTGCTCTGGTACGCTTTGAGTTCTGCTCTTGGCTTCCAGAGGAGCTGATGATGTCCTGGGGCCTTTTTCTGCATGCCCCCCCTCCTGCCTTCTGTCACCTGGAGCTCAGCCGAGCTGGTTTCACCCAAAGATCAGATACTCATCATCCTGTAGCCCTGCCATGGGTCCAAGGAATGAGCTCCTTTCCACAACCCTGCTGATCCCAGCAGAAGGAACATCTGGGAGAGCCTCAGGATTGTGCTGGAGGACAAAGAAATACGGTTGTACCCGGAATGACTTCTTGTTGCAGAAGCAGAGAGGCTGTTGCCAGCAGGGCGGTCTGGGACCCTGCTCGGAGCCGAAGCGGGCAGCAAGCAGCCAGCTCTGCTTCTTCCCCTTCAGTCTCACACGTGATTGCAGCATGGAAGCAGTTGGGTTTGGATTTGGCCTGGAAGAAGACCAAATTGTGCTTTTGTTGCTTTCCCGTGTTTACTTGATAGTTTCCCAAAAAATTCCCTACAAAAATTGTTTAATCTGACCACTTTTTGGATTGTTTGCAAGGTTTATTTTAAGGCCTGTATGTACTAATGCGCTGCTGTGCCAGAAACTTGGCGCCCATAGGGTGGCTTATTGTATTCCTTTTTTTTTACTGTGTCAGGGCATATTGGCAAAGTCAGTCAACTACTTCAAAAGGAAATGAATTTGCTTCCGGCCTTTACATGTTTGGCTTCCACCTTAAGGAGGAAGAAGGAGTTTCAAAGGTCACAAGGAGTATAAATAGAATAAAATGCAGTAAAACACCTATCTGCCTTCAGTCCCTGAGTTTCTTACTGTATGAGGGTCAAAAGTGACCCAAGATGTCCTCTTACAGGGGACGGGGTGCTCTGGGATTGCTGCTGGAGGGATGTTGGCCCAGTCAGGGTCATCAGCGTTCACCCCGGTGCTGGGTAGCTGGGGCAGCCCTGGGCTGGTCGGAGCGGGGAGAGCCAAGCGCACGGCCGGGGGTTCCAGCGATGGGGCTGCCAACGCGCTGTTTGTAGGAGCAGCTTTGCTGCGCAGATGAGCTGCTGTCCACCCTCGCTTCCTCTTAGGCTTGCTCAGGACTGCGTGTGTGGTCCTTATCTTCCCCACACAGCTCATCGCCACTAATCTCCTCTGCAGAGCCGCACAAGGGGTGACTTGCAGGTCTGCCTCCCTTCTCCCAGCTCCTCCTGTCCAAACCACAGTTGTGGCTGCTCTGAAATTCCCTTCTGGCTGTCTGGCCATCAAGTTGTGCTCAGAATGACTTTAAAAATGCTTCTAACTTGTCCTCTGTTATTGCAGGAGTGTCCCCAGATCTGTCTGCGCTCTTCAGCTCCCAGCTTGCTCCCTAGCTTCACTTGTTCTTGCTCTCTTTGGGTGTCTCAGATGCTTCGGGTCACATCTCTCAGATACCTTGCTTATCAGCCCTCCCAGCCGAAACTCCTGGCCAGGCTCTTTATCTGTCACTGCAGCATCCTCTGCTCCGTTCTTGGCCAGCTCAGTGTCCCACTACAGGTATCTGCAGAGCGTGCTGCTGCCATGGCTCTGACCTCCCCAGCCACCTTCCTGCTCCTTGCCCGGGTTTGCCACCTCTCCCTCCTCTTTCCCATTTCAACAGAAGTTGTCTGTGCTTCTCATCCTGTCCTCGCCCTTCTGCCGTGTCTTGCTGTCCATCCCTCACGTTGGACACTCTCTGTAGTTAAATCTGCACTAACTTGTGTGCGCCCTTCCATGCTCCCCTTCTGGGCCAACGCTTGCCTTTCTGGCCGGCCGTGTCCTCAGGTTACGTGTGCTCTGTTTTGACCGGTCTGGTCTCATTAATTGCTTGCATACCTGCCACCACCCCTTCTGTATTGCTATCTAAACTGTGGTTTTCACAGAATCACAGAATTGCAAGGGTTGGAAGGGACCTTGGGAGCTCACCCAGTCCAACCCCCCTGCTAAAGCAGGTTCTCCTAGAGCATGTTACACAGGACTTCATCCAGGCGGGGGTTGAATATCTCCAGAGAAGGAGACTCCACAGCCCCCCTGGGCAGCCTGGGCCAGGGCTCGGGCACCCTCAAAGTCAACAAGTTCTTCCTCCCATTCAACTGGAACCTCTTCTGCTTCAGTTTGTGCCCATGGCCCCTTGTCCTGGCGCTGGGCACCACTGCAAAGAGTCTGGCTCTGTCCTCGTGACACCCACCCTTGAGATATTTGTAGGTGGTGATGAGATCCCCTCTCAGCCTTCTCTTCTCCAGGCTGAACAAGCCCAGCTCCCTCAGCCTTTCCTCGTAGGGGAGATGCTCCAGGCCCTTTGTCAGCTTTCTTGCCCTCCTCTGGACTCTTTCTAGGAGTTCCTCCTCTTTCTTTTCCCTGCAGGGAAGGAGCTTTCTGTGCATCGTTCTCGGACGGGTCCCTTTTCGTGCTGCCTGTTCAACAGCAGGCACCCTACTCCAAGTCTGGCATTAGGACGTGCCTGCCTGGCCCTGGCTGCCTTGGGGATGTTCCCTGCCCTGCTCGATCATGTTCTCCAATTATTATTTTTTTTTGAGGGGAAAAAAACATCCTGAATGAGACCAGTCATCCTCGTGCAGGAAAGGAGGAAGGATCTGGCAGCCCAGCGTACAGAACTCCCAGTAAAAATGTGCTGTAACAACTCTGGGTATTGGTAGGAACCACAGCTGCTTGCTCTTCTAAAAAAGGAAAGGAGAGGCTGAAAATAGCATAATCCCAGGAAAATGAGAACAATTGCTGTTGTCAAAGTCAAGTATCTAAAATGAACACACACTGGAAGCAAGTCGGGACTCCTAAAAGTAGTGAACATTTCGAGATCGCCTGTCGAGGGAAACTGGCCTGCAACAGAGCTGCATCCGTCCTGCGACCTGCTCAGTTTTGAGAGCTGCAAGAGGGAAGCGCTTGCAAAGCCTCTTGGCATCAAAGCAAAGCACAGTAACCCCCCCGTGATGGGTCGCTTACTGCCCGAGAGGCAGGAAAGCAAGCCTGCAAATGGGAAGGAACACACCAGAATCAGCGCTGTCCTGGTCCTGGCAGGTCCCTTCTGCCTGGAACGTGGTGGCCAGCGGATGGCCACCAGCAGTGGAAAGGTCTTTGGGATTTTGCAGCAATGGAGGTGGAGTTTTCAGTAGCTGTGTCTGTGTGATCATGCCTCGTCTCTCCGTGGTCGCTCGTGATCCACTGGGAGAAAGCGACGGGGGATCTTCCCCAGGCAGCCGAGCTCTGCGTCCCTCCTCACCTGCTCTGCTGCTTCCTCTGTAGAAATGGCCAAAGGCTTTCTCTGTGAGAAAGGTGCAGATTCGGGCACAGGTTGTTCTGGAAAAGAAAACGGGTTTGTCTGTGTGATCATGCCTCGTCTCTCCGTGGTCGCTCGTGATCCACTGGGAGAAAGCGACGGGGGATCTTCCCCAGGCAGCCGAGCTCTGCGTCCCTCCTCACCTGCTCTGCTGCTTCCTCTGTAGAAATGGCCAAAGGCTTTCTCTGTGAGAAAGGTGCAGATTCGGGCACAGGTTGTTCTGGAAAAGAAAACGGGTTTGTGTTACCTTCCTCTGCTGGGGCCAGCCCCAGACCGTGGCCCCTTGGCTGCTGTCCTGCAGCTTTCTGCTAGTTACTCACTTTCTTTTTGCTTTTCTATTTTTTTTTTTCCCCTCCAGTCTTTGTTTCTCAGTTGCTGAAGTGATGTGCCTTTGTCCTCTCTGTCTCGGTGGAAATACCAGGCACATGGGTGTTTGCCTTCCCCCCCGATGGCCATGCTTGGGTGTGGGCTCTGCCGCGGCTCGCTCCGGCCCCAAGGCCAGTGCTGTACCCTTGAGAGTGCTCCTTCTGCAGAGCTGTCTTGCACAGTCTCAGGTGGACCTGGGTGTTTCAGATTTGATTTAAATCAGGAGTGAAACTCAAAAATGCTGCAGTTCTCCAAAAGGAACCAGAGGGCTGGATTTGGAACGGCTGCCCTTATGACTTGGCCTGGCCACAGACCCCAATGCCCTGGTTTCCCATAGCCCCTACACCAGTTGCAGAGTCCCAAATATGTTTCCATGGAAGCTTAATCCAAGACTTGTCAGATCTTTACTAAGCCAGGCTTTCCTGAACCGACCTCCCTCTGGCTGCTAGCTGCTGCCCGCTGCGGTGGAGAGCCCAGGCAGCTCCTGTATTTACTATTGGCTTCCCTGCACGTGGCAGGGTGAGGTTGGCCATGGGGAACAATTCCTTCCCCTTGGGGCTGTCAGGGGCTGGAAGGGGCTAAAAGAGGTCGAGTCCGCAGCCCTGGGGGAATTTAACAGCCGGGCAGAGGCGGTGCTGAGGGCCAGGGTTTGGGGGTGGGATGGCAGGGGTAGGGGAGTGGTTGGGCTGGGGGAGCTCAAAGGGCTTTGCCAACCCAACCCATTCTGTGATTCTATGTTCTTCAGTTGTCTCTTCCCTTTCCCCTGTTGGTTTTTAAAAACACACTTGATACCCTCTAACTCTATTTTTGTGAAGGTTTCTGTGAATTAAGTGTGTGCACCAGGTGTGTACGGAGTGCAGGGAGCGTGTGAGAGCTTCCCAGCATAGCGGTCCTGCGTGCCGCCGACTAATGCCCGTTCTGCCTCCCCTCCTGCAGTGGCTGAAGGATCCTGGTCCCCGCAACGAGAAGAGGACCCTTTTCTGCGACATGGTGTGTTTCCTGTTCATTACTCCCCTGGCGGCGATCTCCGGCTGGCTGTGTCTGCGCGGAGCCCAGGATCATTTGCAGTTCAACAGCCGACTGGAGGCCATCGGACTCATAGCACTAACGATAGCACTTTTCACAATCTACGTCCTTTGGACACTGGTAAGTGCCAGCTGCCCAGGGCCTTCTTTCTGTTCAAAAGGGAGATGGGCGTACCGGCTCGCACCGCGTCGGCGCGGCCAGCCCCACTGTGAGAAAATCTTGGGCTCTTTCTCTTGCATGTCCATTTAATTATCTTCAAATGGGAGCTGCTAAAGTTATTGCTGAGAATGAGAAACCACTTCCTGATCATCTGCTTTCCAGATTGTCGTGGGAGCCGTGTTCCCCGGGGTGTCACGTACCTGGGCGCAGACATGCCCGAGCGTGGCTGGGGCTGGGTGGGAAGGTCTGGGGCTGGGGGCAGGCAGTGGTCCGGCTGTTGTTCCTGTTCCTATTGACAAGAAGAAGGACAAACATAGTACCCGGGTGGTTGAGGGGAAAAATAAAATCTGGAAAATGTTTCACCCCTAAATAATCTGCCATCGTGTCCCTCCATGTCTGGGTCCTGCCCTGGGGTCACCACAACCCCAGGCAGCGCTCCAGGCGTGGGGCAGAGCGGCTGGAAAGCTGCCCGGCGGAAAAGGCCCTGGGGGGGTTGGTCGCCAGGGGGCTGGAGAGGAGCCAGCAGGGTGCCCAGGTGGCCAAGAGGGCCAGCGGCATCCTGGCTTGGATGAGGAGTGGTGTGGCCAGCAGGAGCAGGGCAGGGAGCGTGCCCCTGTGCTGGGCACTGGGGGGGCCGCCCCTCGACTGCCGGGGTCAGG